GAAAGAAAGCGAGAGTGACGTTTGACGGTGAGAGCATTCATTAACTCAACAGGGAGCCGTATATCTGCTGCTGACATTCACAGGAGAGTTTGGAAGAAAGGTTACTTGGGTCCAAGTGCACTTACAAAGGGGGATTTTATGTGAAGAAAAAAAACACTAAAAAGGAAAAGGATAGTTGCAAAGTCTTCTTAAACGTTTTTTTTGGCACATAAAATCCCTCCTTTTTTTGTCAAAGGAAAGAAAGAAAGAACCAAAAGAAGCATAGTATTTGCAAACAAATGGTAATACTATGATTGCGAACAACATATACATACATATATACATATACAGGTGCATCTCAATAAATTAGAATGTCATGGAAAAGTTCATTTATTTCAGTAATTCAACTCAAATTGTGAAACTCGTGTATTAAATAAATTCAATGCACGCAGACTGAAGTAGTTTAAGTCTTTGGTTCTTTTAATTGTGATGATTTTGGCTCACATTTAACAAAAACCCACCAATTCACTATCTCAACAAATTAGAATACTTCATAAGACGTTAAGACATATGTTCATTTACTGTACATGTACTCAATACTTGGTTGGGCCTCCTTTTGCATGAATTACTGCATCAGTGCGGCGTGGCATGGAGACAATCAGCCTGTGGCACTGCTGAGGTGGTATGGAAGCCCATGTTGCTTTGATAGCGGCCTTCAGCTCAACTGCATTGTTGGGTCTGGTGTCTTTTTGTGATGCAGTAATTCATGCAAAAGGAGGCCCAACCAAGTATTGAGTACATGTACAGTAAATGAACATACTTTCCAGAAGGCCAACAATTCACTAAAAATGGTTTTTTTATTGGTCTTATGAAGTATTCTAATTTGTTGAGATAGTGAATTGGTGGGTTTTTGTTAAATGTGAGCCAAAATCATCACAATTAAAAGAACCAAAGACTTAAACTACTTCAGTCTGTGTGCACTGAATTTATTTAATACACGAGTTTCACAATTTGAGTTGAATTACTGAAATAAATGAACTTTTCCACGACATTCTAATTTATTGAGATGCACCTGTATATACATACATATATGTATATATATATATACTGTATATATACCTTGCTACGTGTACTGCGTTAGGCTAACCGAGACTTGTCATTTGTACTTATACTGTATATTGTTGCTCTTTTGTTAGTTTTGATTGCTTTTATTGTCCTCATTTGTAAGTCACTTTGGATAAAAGCGTCTGCTAAATGATGAATAATACAGAATGCAACAAAACTTCAAAGAATCAAAGATTAAAATAATTTTTAAGAGTCTGTAAAAAAGACTGAAAACATTTGAAAGAAAAAAGTGCATAACAAAAACTCAAAGAACAAATCAAAACAATAAAAGATCAAAATACTGTTTAACAGACAATAGAGTTGCCGTACAGCTTGACTGTTTATCTGCAGCGTTGATAAAGACTAGTCTCTGCAGGTAATATAATACATGTGAGAGAGTGACCCATAATCCAAGAGTGAAACTCCACCGGGCTTGGCTCTATATTCAGTTCTTTTCACAAATTTTGCTGGAGAGGGAAAACAAAGCTCTTTTTATTGCAGATCTGCAAAGCTATCACTGCAGGTAAAATAGCTTGACAGATAGTTGATAAGAAGGGGAAAACAAGTTCAAGTTATCACAGTAACTTTTCAATAAGGGAAGAATGATGAGAATGCACATGTCTAGTTCTTATCAACTCATAAACTGTTGATAATTGCATGCATCTATTACAGTCTTTTTAAAGCTTAGTTTACTCAACCTGCAGGCAAAAAAAAAGTGTTTGAGGGGTTAAAATACAAAAACTTTAAGCCGTTTAAAAAAAAATCTAAATCTATTGGATATTTCTCTTTATTTTAACTATAGAACTGAATGGCTAATAATGTTAAACGTTTTTTTTTTTATATCACCAACAGCATATGACACATTCCTGACTTTATTTATGGTGTGTATCCAGTTAAAAGCAGCATGAAAGTGCTCAAAACACTTTATTCTGGTCAATAAGACAGTTTTGACTGTTTTATGAGCATCATCAGCCGTTTTAAATTGGTTTTTAGCAGAGATGCATCATACGCTGCATATTAACCTGATTATTAACTCTATGTTTATTATTATTTTTTCATTTATTAATATAATTATAATTTTTTTTCAAAACCCATATGTAACCATTCTTGTTCCTTACATTCCCAGCAGATTTATTAGTTTTAATGTGCCAGGAATGTGAAGCTCGGCTGAACTGAAATAGCAGGACAATAGTTGTGCTGTTAAAGGATTAATAGGTAACACTTTACAATAAGGGCTCATTTGTTAAAGGAATAGTTAATAAAGTTACATTAGTTAGAGGAATAGTTCAACCTAATATTGAATTAGCAAAAAATGTACTCGCCCTCAGGCCATCCAAGATGTAGATGAGTTTGTTTCTTGATTGGAACTGAAGGCCGCTATCAAAGCAACCTGGGCTTCCATTACACCTGAGCAGTGCCACAGGCTGATTGTCTCCATGCCACGCCGCACTGATGCAGTAATTCATGCAAAAGGAGCCCCTACCAAGTATTGAGTACATGTACAGTAAATGAACATACTTTCCAGAAGGCCAACAATTCACTAAAAATGTTTTTTTTATTGGTCTTATGAAGTATTCTAATTTGTTGAGATAGTGAATTGGTGGGTTTTGTTAAATGTCAGCCAAAATCATCACAATTAAAAGAACCAAAGACTTAAACTACTTCAGTCTGTGTGCACTGAATTTATTTAATACACGAGTTTCACAATTTGAGTTGAATTACTGAAATAAATGAACTTTTCCACGACATTCTAATTTATTGAGATGCACCTGTATATACATACATATATGTATATATATATATACTGTATATATACCTTGCTACGTGTACTGCGTTAGGCTAACCGAGACTTGTCATTTGTACTTATACTGTATATTGTTGCTCTTTTGTTAGTTTTGATTGCTTTTATTGTCCTCATTTGTAAGTCACTTTGGATAAAAGCGTCTGCTAAATGATGAATAATACAGAATGCAACAAAACTTCAAAGAATCAAAGATTAAAATAATTTTTAAGAGTCTGTAAAAAATACTGAAAACATTTGAAAGAAAAAAGTGCATAACAAAAACTCAAAGAACAAATCAAAACAATAAAAGATCAAAATACTGTTTAACAGACAATAGAGTTGCCGTACAGCTTGACTGTTTATCTGCAGCGTTGATAAAGACTAGTCTCTGCAGGTAATATAATACATGTGAGAGAGTGACCCATAATCCAAGAGTGAAACTCCACCGGGCTTGGCTCTATATTCAGTTCTTTTCACAAATTTTGCTGGAGAGGGAAAACAAAGCTCTTTTTATTGCAGATCTGCAAAGCTATCACTGCAGGTAAAATAGCTTGACAGATAGTTGATAAGAAGGGGAAAACAAGTTCAAGTTATCACAGTAACTTTTCAATAAGGGAAGAATGATGAGAATGCACATGTCTAGTTCTTATCAACTCATAAACTGTTGATAATTGCATGCATCTATTACAGTCTTTTTAAAGCTTAGTTTACTCAACCTGCAGGCAAAAAAAAAGTGTTTGAGGGGTTAAAATACAAAAACTTTAAGCCGTTTAAAAAAAAATCTAAATCTATTGGATATTTCTCTTTATTTTAACTATAGAACTGAATGGCTAATAATGTTAAACGTTTTTTTTTTTATATCACCAACAGCATATGACACATTCCTGACTTTATTTATGGTGTGTATCCAGTTAAAAGCAGCATGAAAGTGCTCAAAACACTTTATTCTGGTCAATAAGACAGTTTTGACTGTTTTATGAGCATCATCAGCCGTTTTAAATTGGTTTTTAGCAGAGATGCATCATACGCTGCATATTAACCTGATTATTAACTCTATGTTTATTATTATTTTTTCATTTATTAATATAATTATAATTTTTTTTCAAAACCCATATGTAACCATTCTTGTTCCTTACATTCCCAGCAGATTTATTAGTTTTAATGTGCCAGGAATGTGAAGCTCGGCTGAACTGAAATAGCAGGACAATAGTTGTGCTGTTAAAGGATTAATAGGTAACACTTTACAATAAGGGCTCATTTGTTAAAGGAATAGTTAATAAAGTTACATTAGTTAGAGGAATAGTTCAACCTAATATTGAATTAGCAAAAAATGTACTCGCCCTCAGGCCATCCAAGATGTAGATGAGTTTGTTTCTTGATTGGAACAGATTTGGAGAAATTCAGCATTACATTACTTGCTCACCAATGGATCCTCTGCAGTGAATGGGTGCCGTCAGAATGTTAACAACGCTCGATCTGTGTATATTTTTCTCCTGATTCAGGCAAGATGACTTTTTCATTGAAGAAAGCAATATTATGATAGAGGATTCTTATTTTAGCCAGAAACAATGGTTTATAGTTCATTTGTTTGTATTTGTTTACTAGAAACACACAGCTTTTTACTTCAAAAGCTTATTGTGATGTTTTATTCAGCTGTCTGGACTCTCATTCTGACGGCACCCATTCACTGGAGGATCCACTGATGAGCAAATGAGGTAATGCTAAATTTCTCAAAATATGTTCTTATGAAGAAATTCATTTATACCTCGGATGGCCTGAGGATGAGCACATTTTCAGCAAGTATTTTAGCAAGGTGAACTATTCCTTTAATGCATTAGTAAACATGAACCTATAACATGAACCAGCATTTATTAACCTTTATGTTAGTTAATAAAAAAATAAAATTGCTTGTTCATGTTAGTACACAGTAACAGATACAACTTTTCTTTTTAAAACATATTAATAAATGTATTAATAAATGCTGTAGAACTATTTGTATTGTTTGTTCATATTTACTAATATAGCTAACTAAAGTTCACAAATCATACATCTTTGTAAAGTGTTACCAATTACATTATTGTAGTTTGTTTCTAGAAAATGTAAAAAAAAAAAAAAAAAAAAAAGTATGCTGGGTTTGGTTTGCTCATACTTGCCAATATTTTATGGTAACTAAAATCTACCACTAATACAAAAATTGCAAATTATTTTTGTCCCATGTGGCCTTTATTAATAAATCAGTTTGTCGTTAAGAAGGTTTTTCTTTGAGTAAGTATCGCCATAACTGGTTTCTCTCCCAAAACTGTCCAAGTATTCCTTCATATCGTAGTCAAATGTTTATTTAGTTAATTAAATAAAGTATAAACACATGTTCACTAATAACAGTTATACTCTCACGGTCTCTTTGTAGCAGATACAAAAGCCAACAGTATTCAAAGCAGGAATGTGGATCAGTTCTTCAAATACTTGAAATGCCTCTTGAGTTGAGACGCTGTACAGTATAAGGGTTTAGTTGCTGTGAACGAGTGTGACGAATAGGAAGAGTGAACATAGGGAGATGGCACAAGTGAGCACGGCCTTCACTAGGAGAGCTGTCCAGCTGCCCAGGAGGAAAACATGAACAAACAGCCTGGAGGAGACACACAAACATGGAAATAAACAGTGCAGTGAAAAGTCAAAACAAAGAGCATACGATTTCTTTAAAAGGACACACAGTGATTTCATACGGAAAAGTATATCAACATATTACACTTATTATTTCTGGAGTTTCATATGCGTGAAACACCCGGAGGACCTAATACACAAAACTAATGCTGTAACCCACAATGCAACTTAAATGAAAACATCTGAATTTTCCTGCAAAACTGAATTAAAAATGTGAAATAAAGGCAAGATGCTTGCTTACATGCAAGATGAAAATGTTATTTGACAACTCTGCATACTACTGTATTACATATTTTATGCTGTGTAATGCATTCAACATGCTATTAAAAAAAAAAAAACAGTAAGCAGCATACAGTGCAAACTGTGTGATATTTAGTAAATAATAAGCTAGCATTTAATTCCAAACAGCCAGAAACTACATTTGCAATGGCAATAAAATCTAACTTAACGCAACACTGCCATCTACAGGAGAGATGAACAAGTGCATCAGCTCTACTGTATTAAACTGTACTGTATTAAATAAGCATTTTTCAATGCATTGCGACAAATACAATTAAATAAATGAATAAAAAGCCTATAATTATTATACAAACTGAACATCTAATTGACTTCTATTTACAAGTTAAATCAAATGCTGTTTGGAGATTAATGTAGGTTGTAGATACAGAATTGAACTGATACAGAAATGCTGTCCAATATTGAAAATTAGAAATAGTTATTTTTATGCCACAGCCAAAAATGGATTTAACAGCTGATATTGTGAATCAAAGCTGTTTGAAATATTCATTCATACAGGGAAAATAAGCATTAAAATGTAATAAATGTACAGAAGGTATATTTTTTTAATGTACTTTTTTTAATCTTCTGTAGTTAAACAGCAAACTGAATGAATAGGAAAAATTAAGCACCAATACTATCCTCATCCAATATTTGTCTAAACAGACTGATGCCAACTTTAAAAAAAAAAAAAAAATGTATGGCCAATATTAATTTGGTCAAAATATATTGTGAATCCTTACTCAAATTTAATTATTTTCATAAATCATAAACCCTGTTTACTAGAAATGTGCTACAAATTTGAATACATCTTAATTTTGAATTTTGACTAAAAAAAAGAATGTAGACAAACTAAAAGTTCAGATAAAACGCTGACTTAAACCAGCTCTGTTGTAATACCTTAGATGAAAAATTGTGCCAAAAGTAGTTTTAAGCTAAACAAGTATTGCTGTGATACTCACTCCATAAGAAAGATCTTATAAACACACAATCCCAGCAGGATGGTAACAGGGAGCCGGAAGCTTTTGGGAAGGTCGTAGCGAGTGAACATCCATACTACTGCTGCCATAGCAATATAATGTACCTAATATGATTTTTAAAAAAAAATTAAGTTTAGGTACAGAATAAAGCAACAGAACGGAGTAAATCGGACTTACACAATTGTGTCCCAATATATATACATATCATATTTAATATGATAAAACAATGAGTAGAAAAGCTCTGTTACAGTAAAGTAAATAAATCAATACATATATTTGTGATACTGGATTTTTGATGCATGCAAACACAAAAACTACAGCACAAAGAAAGCACGTATCTTACCAGACTGATGTTGGAATCAAAGCTCATTTGAATGTATTTCCAGTCAAACTCAATGCCACGAGCTCCCACCCATAACGGAATACATCTGTTTAGAATAAACAGATCTTTTTTTTTTTCAGTACTGATCTTTTCTCAAACTTGGACTCCAAAATCTTGAACAAAAGTGCATAACCAAACCATACACGTTAATTTCTACTTGTTACTGCCAGTGAAAATCTGTAATGTGCTTTGACAGCGTATCTCTCCGGATGATCAGAATACCTTGACATGATTAGCTCGGCTGTAGCCCAGCCCATAGCTGCCACCATGATCTTATATTCGCCCTTCCCAGCATTCCTGGACATAACCAGATGAAGCCCTAGAAGATCGGCCATGTCCACTGTGGCCTTCATGAACTCCTAGGGTTAACAGGACATGAATGAATGACGTTATCATGATTATTTGCACGGATGTCAGCATGAATGCAATAATAACGTGTGAACAAGTTGTGAGCACAAAGCCTTAAATGAAGTGTTCACCCAAAAATATGCATTTGCTGACAATGTGCATTCTTCATCCCAACAGATTTGGAGAAATGTAGCTTTACATCACTTGTTCACCAGTGGATCCTCTGCAGTGAATGGGTGCCGTCAGAATGAGAGTCCGAACAGCTGATAAAAACATCACAATAATCCACACCACTCCAGTTCATCAATTGAAATGTTGTGAAGCAATAGGAGAAAGAATTTGTTAGAAACAAATCCATCAAGATGTTTTTTTAACTTCAAGCTGTTTCTTCTGCCTAAAACGCAAGTCTTCTATCCATAATATCAATTTCTCCAGTGAAAAAGTTGTCTAGTCTTAATCAGGAGAGAAATCTGCACAGATCAAGCTCTAAACAAATATGTTGGTGGATTTTGATGTGAGAGAACAACAGGGCATGGAACTTTTCACTGGATGAAGTGTTATTATGCATTTTGGTTTAAAGTTAAAAAAAATCTTAATGATGAATTTGTTTCTTAAAACATGCAGCTTTTCGCTTCACAAGAAATTAATTGATGGACTGGAGTTGTTACTTGTGGATTATTGTGGTTTTTATCAGCTGTTTGAACTCTCATTCTGACGGCACCCATTCACTGCAGAGGATCCATTGGTGAGCAAGTGATGCTTAATTTCTCCAAATCTGTTTTGATGAAGAAACAAATTTCTCTACATCTTGGATGGCCTGAGGCTGAGCATATTTTCAGCTATTTTCTTTTTCTGAGTGAACTATTCCTTTAATTTGCCTTGTAATATCACATAATCCAAAGGGTGGGGTTGAGTGCTCTCTGCAGAGATTTGAAATTAATTCACTTCAAGCATGTATGTAATACATAAAAGCATGTTGTTTATCTATGTATTTGTAACATTTTCATGCGTTCTTTTATACATATATATATATGTGTGTGTGCAATCATAATCCAGTAGTGAGGATTCAGTCAAATGACTAGAGTGATAATCCAGAAACGCAAAAAGCAATAATTATGAGATCTGTATCCATGAACATGCCAGCATTTGACTAACAGGGGCTCATTACACAGTAGGTTGTGCAGGCTTGACTGCATCTGATGGCCTGATGCATCCCAGAGGGAATACTGATGTGTTCTCCAAAACTCAGCATTACAGAAAACCCTAGACGGAGCAAATGCACTTGCTCTCAGTTGATGAGTTTAATTCCTGGAAGCTAATGGCGCTAATGCTACCGAGCCAAATCAAATCCCAGCTGCGTAGATACACACTTAACAAGTGCATATACCTGCATAGTGTGCATACATGCATTGCATTATCATACTTCTTAATATGAGAGGTTCTTATTTGCATGCTGAGCTCTGTGGGATCATTTGAAATGTTAAAATTATCATATAGGTTAGGTACAGTATATACCCTATTGACAAAAACATCTTAAACAAGCCTAAGGTAGTTAGCTGGTCTCCCAGCCTGGCCAGGCTGGTTTCGTTTGCAGGTTTTTGAGAGGTTTCAGACTAACTTAAATGATATTTCCACCTTAGGTTAGACTTTCAGCCTCAAGTTTCAGTTGCTGGCGTGCCTCTTATAAGGAACAGTTTACCCAAAAATGAGAATCTGCTTACAATTTACTCGCCCTCAGGCCATCTAAATGTAGTTTGTTTCTTCATCAGAACAGTCTTTGAGAAGTTTGGCATTACATCACTTCCCCACCAATGAATCCTCTGCAGTGAAAGGGTGCCGTCAGAATGAGAGTCCAAACAGAGACTTCTTCTGGTGAAAAAGTCCATCCCTTGTTGTCCTTTCATATCAAAATCCACCAACACATTTGTTTAGAACGGTCTTCGACTGTTTTCGCTCGTAAGCTGTGCTTGATCTTTGCATATTTCTCTTCTGATTCAGATTTAACATGGGAAAGCAATACTATGGATAGAGGACTCTTATTGTGAATGGTAAAAAAAATCTTAATGATGAATTTGTTTCTTAAAACATGCAGCTTTTCGCTTCACAAGAAATTAATTGATGGACTGGAGTTGTTACTTGTGGATTATTGTGGTTTTTATCAGCTGTTTGAACTCTCATTCTGACGGCACCCATTCACTGCAGAGGATCCATTGGTGAGCAAGTGATGCTTAATTTCTCCAAATCTGTTCTGATGAAGAAACAAATTTCTCTACATCTTGGATGGCCTGAGGCTGAGCATATTTTCAGCAATTTTCTTTTTCTGAGTGAACTATTCCTTTAATTTGCCTTGTAATATTTCGAATCAAAATTATCTATATAAATGCATTATGAAAAGCTTAAAAATGAATAAAAAGAGTGGCACATTCACTGCTCACCCCAACAAAATCATACACGCCAGCTCCTCCCTCCCAGGTGGGGAAAAATGTGGCAAGAAACAGCATCTGAAAGTGATATCACACATAGAGAAAACCTCATAATACTCTGTCTTCAAACATTAGAAACTTCTTTGTGAGGACCAAAGGGTTCAGTCACCTTGCACAGCTGCACAAAGAGGTAGGTAGCACCTGCTTGGACACATCTCCAAAATGCATTATATTCAGACCTGGCAATAAACAAAAGTGTGAAGATTAGAACAGTGATCACTGCTAGAAAGAACATCTTGATCTTTGGAGCATACATCAACAACTGAAAACTGTTGAGATGATTGTACAGATTCATTAACAATTGAATTAAAGGGGAGAACCAAATATATATAAAATTAATTATTTATTGACCATGCCTCATATTGAACACATTAGTTATATATGCCATATAGCATATGACCTAAGAAGATTAATACTGTACACTGACATACTTCAGCATAAACTTTTTTAAAGATCATTATTTTGTGTATTTGGTGTAACAGAATATGTTGACATGCTTTAATGTTCAAAAAACACATTCTTTTTCAAATACTGTACATTATTGTAGGTCCTCTATGCCCCGCCTCTCTCAAACGCTTCGTTTTCTACAAAGTCCCTCCTTCCGACAAGCGCAGTCTGCTCTGATTGGCCAGCTGACCCAGTGCATTGTGATTGGCCGGAAATGTAACGCCCCTTACCATAATCGCCAGCTTCAGCTTTCAAAATAAAGGTAAAGACGGAGCCCGAAAGGGGAACAGAGTCGTGTGACAGACACAGTGATGAAGCTGGTATGTGTTTGCAGTACACAAGCCACGGTTAAGACGGCTGACTCCACTGTGATGTGACCCCCTCTCTCTCTCTCTCTCTCTCTCGTGACAGACACAGTGATGAAGCTGCTATGTGTGCAGTACACTTGGTTTCTGAAACCAAGCCTTCTTTCTTTGCGTGCACATTTGGGCGGCATTATGCTAATATTTCCACATAGTGAGGTAGATATGTGGGGGCGTGTTAGAACGAGCCGTTTTAGGGGGGCGTGGCAGAGTCTTAACTTTGATAAAGAATATCTCTTTGGTTTTGAGACTTTAGTCTTTGCAACTTCAGGGATCTTATCTATGCACAATCAGCTTCTAACACTCCAAAGAGAAAGGACAACTTGAAATCGCATCATATGACCCCTTTAAATAATATATACTGCAGCATATATTGAGCCAATAATATCTATAGATTTCCTACAATTTCTAAAAAAAAAAACTTAGCTAGATATATAATACTTCCAAGTATGAAAAAATATTGTCTAAATACTTACAATCCACTACATTTGTGGTAGGGCCTTTCTGCTGTCGCAAATCTCAGTGAGTTACTCTTTGGAGTGCATGTACACTAACAGGTCAGCAACACGATGGCTGTAGCCAAATTCATTGTCATACCTGAGAGAAAGAAAAACAAAAGAAGATTAGAGCATTGCTTTTTCTGTTGTCTTAAAAATCTTGATATTTTTCTGACAATTTACAATAAATGTACCATTATTTATGCACTGTATTTTCCCTGAAAATATTTATCTTGACCTAACAGTAATTTCAACCAAAAAAATATATATATATACTTATTTTCTCCCCACATAATTATTTAGCTATTTCACAAAATGAACATTTATAATTAATCAATAAAATAAGGGAAAATATTTTTTTTATTATTTTGTATTTATATGCACTAATATAACAATGAATGACTATAAACAGCAAAGGTTATCAATATTTATTTTTTTACTAAAATAAAATCAGGGTAACACTTTACAATAAGGTTCATTAGTTAACTACATTAGTTAACATGAACTAATAATGAACTGCACTTATACAGCGTTTATTAATCTTTGTTAATGTTAATTTCAACATTTACTAACACATTATTAAAATCTTGTTAACATTAGTTAATGCACTGTGAACTAACATGAACTAACAATGAACATCTGTATTTTTATTAACTAATGTTAGTGAAGATTAGTAAATACAGTAACAAATGTATTGCTCATGGTTAGTTCATGTTAGTTTACACATTAACTAATGTTTAACTAATGAACCTTATTGTAAAGTGTTACCAAAATCAGATTAATGTGATATGGGGGAGTCATTTACAGAATTAAACTGAACTCTATTTCCACTAAATTTGAAAGTAAAGACACTATTAAAGCATCCGTCTTAATATTTTCATACTTGTAATCTGTGAGAAATCTAGAAAAAAATGTGAAAATGCTGTCTTTAGAAGTTGAAATAATTGCAATATTCACAGTTAAGACTTCATTTTATATCACCAGCAAAAACACGATAAATGTTTTGTGATTATTTGATCCAGTCCTTCCAAAAATCTAAGTTCTGTCATCATTTACTCACCCTCATGTTGTTTCAAACCTGTGTGAGTTTTGTTCTGTATGCTGAACACAAAAGAAGGTATTTTAAAGAATGTTGGTGACCAAACAGTTTCAGGTCCCATTGACTTACATAGCATTTTCTGCCCATACTATGGAAATCAATGGGACTCAAAACATTTGGTAACCAACATTCTTCAAAATATCTTCTTTTGTGTTCCATGGAATACAGAAATGCATACAGATTTGAAATGAGTATATATATATATATACATATATATATATATTTTTACTTATGGTGTGTACCATTGAATGGTGCACAATAGGACCAGAAATATGCATTAAGAATTGATTATATGTAAAACACTTTATGCAGTGCAGAGCTATAGACCTACTGTATATGTTAGTTTAACATGGCTGCTGCTTTACACAATGCCAAGAATCATAATTTCTGCTTCAGTGAATCTCACCATGTACTGCAGGTCGATGAAGGGGTCGTTGATGGCGGTGACTTTAATTCCCTTCTGCAGGCAGGCCCTGAGGACCAGACGGCCAATGCGGCCAAATCTACACAAACACACGGCAAAGTTATTTAAGATGTTTCATTATGACACAATCTGTCTTGTATCTGTTACTTTGAAAGATGCATCTCATTCTCCTGTATCTGTCTGCCTGCAGGGAACACGATGGAAAATTCCACTGAAGGACCGTGTGATTTCATTGGGCGAAACAAGGGAATATCTACATGTTTTTATTAAATATGCTAGCATATGAAAGGTAAAGTGAATAATTAATGTTTTGTCAGTTGATATCTGATTGGTAGGACACATTGCCTGAAAGACTACGCAGCAGGAGTGTGTGTACATGCTTATGTGGATGGAGGCTTAAGTTCATCCTGGGTAATCCTGTTCTTGTAATCATTCTGAATCAGGCTATTTGCTCTCTCTCTTTCTCTCTCTCTCTCTCTCTCTCTCTGTATATCTGCATTTTACAATCTCTATTTATGGAATTATTAGCTCTGTCTCAAAACCTAGTGAGCTGCCTTGCTGTTTACTGCCTCTAAATAAATCTAAAGGAAAAAGAAAATCAGACCGACTTTAAATGTTCTTCATAGTACACAACTTAACGTACAAAGCACTGTGAATGTCAATTTTTTAATTAGATTTAACTGTTTATAGTTAACTATCGATATTATCATTATCAAAGATTATCAGATTATTATCCTTTTACCTAAAATATATACTTGAATTGAATTCCCCCTGTGATTTTAAGATAATATTTAATAACACTTTTGGATGTTTACAGTTCAAGCAGGTGAAGAAATATGTTTTTTTAAATTGTTTACTTTATTTTGTTCATTACTCATTTATTATTCATTTTTATGATTTAATAATACATTATTAGCTTTTCATCAACTCATTCAGTAACTGAATAAATTCTAAGTTCATTTAGGATTGATCTTGATCTTGCTTCGTCCACCATCTATACCACTGTTTATTTGGTATAGTACAATTTTTAGGTGGTTCACTATATTTTGGAACAGATCCTTCGTCAAAAATAGACACAAGTTTTGCATTTGGTATTTTATATTTTATGATGTTTTTTAATCATATATTAAAGCCTTAAACATCGTGAGAGTTCAGATGTAAACTCACCCATTGATTCCAACGCCAAGCTCAGACATTATTGCAAGAGTATGGATTGTGGTTCTGAACCTGAAATTAGAGAAGACAAAAAACAAAGCAGGCTTTTATAACAATTGCATCAACGTATAACTTTATAATAGCGTTAGTTCTACTGCTGTTTTGAACTCCGTGTTTAATAATGTGTAGCTGTTTTTGCAGAAGAACTTTTCATTTTATCTTGTGAAATAATAGCATTAGTGTGGTATAGATTAAATGTTATTTTCTTAGATTTCTGTGATTTCGATCATACCGCCCTCCCTCACTAGCAGCTCAGTGGTCTGTCTAAACACGCTTGTGGGACTGAACTTCATGAACTTTCTCTGAGCCAGTGAGGTGTTTTGGATGGTGGGCGGAGGCTTGAACTGTTCTCTAGTTTTTATTGTTCTTGGGTCCATTAGCATGCTGTTTGGGAAATTTCCAAACCTCGGCCTCACTGGACCTGCATACTTTATTAGCCTGGCAGAGCAGAAGATCTATTGTGTAAAGACACGTCTTTTATTCTCCTCTCTTCATGCAGAACAGGGGCAGCAAGTCATGCACTTAACAATTTGTCCTTAAACTTCCTTGTGCACACAGGAAGTTTCTGAAATACTGGCAATGTGTGTGCATTGCCAAACAGTCTTCACTGTGGGCTTCAATATGGAACAAGTTGTCACATGCCTAACATCGTTTGCAGTTTTCTCTATTACCAGAGTGCCACGGTGTGTGAGGATGGGTCTTATGTAACATGAGCCTGACAATTGGACCAGAGTCAAATATTTGTACATTATGCCATATATGGCTAACGCCTGAGAAGTATAAAAGGGAAGAGGAGGATGTTGAACTGCAGCTGGAAACGGATACATGTGCACATGAAACAGGGGGATGTGACTCACTCATTGAAATTACAATGAAAAAAGTTAACCAATTTAAATTCAGTTAAAAGTGTATTAATAGATTTCAGTTGATTTAGTTCTGCCTTTAATACAAGCTGGCAGTCTAAATCAGTTTAGACTTTAGAAACGTTTAGAATAAGATGATTCCTGCTGTCGCTCTTTTTACAGCTAGACGTAAAGTAACAACATCCCTGTGATTTTACCGTAGTATTTAAAACACTATACAAGACTGTGTATGAAATAACTCAAGGGAGTGGCTCTAATGCATTATACTTTGTTTGACATTTTAAGATATAAACACATTTTAGCTAACAGAGTTATAATGTTGATATTTGTAGTCACAACAAAATATAGCCCTCTAAAAGCCCATAGATGTGGCTAGATGACAGAGAACGTCTCATGATCTGTTGGGTTTTAGTGAGCTATGGTTTGTTTTGAGTCCACATGTTTATACTTTCATCAAGGCAAGTAGTGCATACGGTCATTAACGAGACAAATGAACAGGTTTTCCATAGACACCATTGATTGGACCTCATCTGCCACTTCTGTCTCTGTGCACCACTGAAATGGTCAAAAATGACCTTCACGGTCTGCTTGAAAAGATGGTCTCGGCAGGGTTATTCTAGTTAACTAAAACTAAAAAAAAGAAGTGTTATTTGAAATAAAATAAGTGTTAACTGTAATAAAATATATATAAAAATTTTTTATATATTTTATTTCAGCTGGTTTCCAATGCAACATTTATCATTTTCATTTAGTGTAAATTTCTGTATTAGAACAACTTAAACAATATTACAAAAACTAAAACATATATAGATATATTAAATGAAAAACAACCCAAAACTGATAAAAATGACAAAATCACAACAAAAATACTAAAACCCAAACTAACCCCAACTATTAAAATGAAAATCGGAAATGAGAAATTCCAAATATTAATAAAAACTAGAACAGAATCACAATTATACTAAAATATCACTGGGTATGGGATATGGTTAATGTGAACTCTGTTACAGTTTGCAAATGGATATTAAATAAATCCTGTCCTAAATTGCAGAATTTGGAAAATTGGCTTATTATTAGGCAGAAAATGAAAATGCTGTTCTGTGCATTTCATTTCTTAGTTTCATTGCTAAATCCAAATTGGCAAATGGCTGAGATTATGAGGTTATGCCCTAGAGTTGGACACAACGGCAGCAGATTTTATAGGGAAGAGCGCTTCGGAAGTTTTTCATTAGCGTTTTATTTTCCAGGCGTTGAACGATCCCTTTCCATTTATCATTAAAATAATTAATATCAAGTAGAGAAGTGTTGTATTTCTGGAGGGTTTGCCTATAAGGTATCCTGAGGAAGTGCTGTGTCATTCCAGCCAGACAATAGCAGCGGGAGAAAGCAAGTTTTTAGAGAACGGATAAGCACTTTAACTAGTGCAACACATAAATGTCTAACATTGGGTCTAGCATTTGGCTTCAGTGGCAGTGCAATAGGTATGATGTAAGAAAATTAAATTAACCCACACTGCAACCCACTGTTCCCATTCTTGGCTCAGTTAAAGGACATGTTTGAGAAGGGAATGGTATTTTAACTGTAAAAATTATTCCTCCAAGGGTGCAAATTACAGCCCAGAGAAAGAAAAACAGCCTCTCTACAATGCACAGACTGTATGACTGTACTGTAGCTAATTTCTGTATCATGAAACATGCAAAATACATGCAATTTGTTTTGATAATGCACAATTCAATATTTCAATCCGCAGTGCTCATTGTACAATAGTCTAAACTGCCTGTCATTTAGAGGCTTTTGATGATGCAGAAGCAAGTGTCAAACCAACGAACATCATATGCTGTTTGTGATGTCATGATGCATAAATCAGCGCAATGGGCCATCAAACACCTTTAATACTGGCTTCTTTTTTCGACTAACTCCACAGTAAGAACACCACATTTGTCTGGTGTAAGGTAACATCCACTATAAGTGACTTTAGGGCCTTTCGCACCGCTTTAGTTCCAGAACTAAATGTACAGTATTTCCCAGTATCATTTAAAGAGTTGCATTCGCACTCAAATAGTCATTTGAGTGGAAAATATCTAATGCTGTGTGGCATAAAATGAAACAGGAACTTCATCAGTGTCATTTTTCAAAATAATTGCTTGCAACTAAATACATACCAATTGATTATGGACCTTTTTTATCATTAAAATAATTAATATCAAGTAGAGAAGTGTTGTATTTCTGGAGGGTTTGCCTATAAGGTATCCTGAGGAAGTGCTGTGTCATTCCAGCCAGACAATAGCAGCGGGAGAAAGCAAGTTTTTAGAGAACGGATAAGCACTTTAACTAGTGCAACACATAAATGTCTAACATTGGGTCTAGCATTTGGCTTCAGTGGCAGTGCAATAGGTATGATGTAAGAAAATTAAATTAACCCACACTGCAACCCACTGTTCCCATTCTTGGCTCAGTTAAAGGACATGTTTGAGAAGGGAATGGTATTTTAACTGTCAAAATGATTCCTCCAAGGGTGCGAATTACAGCCCAGAGAAAGAAAAACAGCCTCTCTACAATGCACAGACTGTATGACTGTACTGTAGCTAATTTCTGTATCATGAAACATGCAAAATACATGCAATTTGTTTTGATAATGCACAATTCAACATTTCACTCTGCAGTGCTCATTGTACAATAGTCTAAACTGCCTGTCATTTAGAGGCTTTTGATGATGCAGAAGCAAGTGTCAAACCAACGAACATCACATGCTGTTTGATCAGCGCAACGGGCCATCAAACACCTTTTATACTGGCTTCTTTTTTCGACTAACTCCACAGTAAGAACACCACATTTGTCTGGTGTAAGGTAACATCCACTATAAGTGACTTTAGGGCCTTTTGCACCGCTTTAGTTCCAGAACTAAATGTACAGTACTAAAGTACTGGGACGATTTTGCGCGAACTATTTCCCAGTATCATTTAAAGGGTTGCATTCACACCGAGAGTGTGTACTAAGAAGTGACATAAGCCGGTCGACAGCGACGTCATTTGTGCGCGGCGTTCAACAACAGAAACAAAGAAGAACAACGTTAACAACAGAAGGATGGAGGACGCTGTGATCGGAGCTGTGCTTTTGTTGTGTCTCGCGGGTTTCACAATAATGGACATGGAAAGTCGACGTATACGTAAAGCGATTGAAAGAACGGAAAGGAGGACTAAGAATCTCCAACGACAACTGGCAGTGCTACATTTGCAACAAGTGCCTGCACTTCAGCGTCCGTCCATCTATCGCTGTTCTCCATACTTGCGAAATAAGTTGACACAATGTTTACAGTAAGTTTACACTGCGTTTTAAATCATGGCGGGTGAGAGCGTTTTCATACGCGTTTGGCCAATCAATGTGTACTTACGTCACGATTAGTACCAGTTGTGCTGGTTAGACCCTGCTCCGGAGTAGGAGCTAATTTGGTTCTAGAATAAGGCAGTCCGGTACTAAATTCCGGTGGTGCAAAAACTTCAAAAAGTGGGTAGTTCCACAATTAGTTCTGGTACTATGAAAAGGTTCCCGCGGTGCGAAAGGCCCTATTTAAACAGCCAGCTGAAGGCCCTTCTGGTTGCCAGTGGCAACTGCAGAGTCAGACTGCAGAAGGTCAGTGAAGGAGGGATGGAGATGCGGCCTGCATATCACTCCCTTGCATGCACATATATAATATTTCAACCAACAGTCTTCAAATTAGACTTATGCATTAACAAATATATTAATGCCATTATTTATTTCAAATGATCACAGCATAATTGTTGTTAATAATGCATAACCTGCAGACAAACACAAATCAGAACAAATCTGTTCAGGTGGGTCATTTGGTTGCATGAAAACCACCTTAAACCAGCTAAAACTGGTAAACCACTTCAGGCTGGTTTCATATGTTTTACTCAACAGGGAATTTGCAGGAAATGACATGACGCTCATGATACCCAAGGTTTTCAGATCTGAGTCATGTTCTCCACTGCTGCATCGAACACGAGTCCAGTCACGTACATGAGGGAGAAAATCTCCCATGATGCTCACCGTGTAACATGTGTCCTGTCCAAATTTATATTAAAATACAGATAGAAGCTCTGGCATAGTCTATCCTAACCCTGTTCTCGTATAACGCATTCAAAACCAAAATGTTATGAGAAAGACATGTTGAATAAGCACAAGGAGTTATATCATTTGACCTTGACAGCTCGTTCGACCTTCATGATGCGAGTGATGCTTTGACATTATTTCTGTTTATCTGCTTTTATATGCATTAGAGCGCAGACGGCTGCTTTAATGTTCAAAAAGGGGGAGTGTGTTCCTTCTTCATTCGTTATTTGTCATTGTCAATACGTCGAATAAACACAATAACCATCTGACTAAAATAGGTACTCCAAAATATGCGCTCAAACGACACACGGTCGAGTTTGGAGAAGTTATTAAAAAAAGTATTTATTAAATCATATTCCCTCCCCTCTTTCGCAGCTTCTTAGCAGATGGTACATTCTGGAACGATACGACGCAATGAACCCATCGCGAGCGGCCCGCAAGGCACAACACGCTGCTCATTCTTCAACATTTTTATATAATAAAGTACTAAAATGTCACGGGTGTGAAATTAATATTGTATATTCTATAATAAAGCATGTATATATTTGCATAAAGCGGCATGGGATGTATGAATGAACCACGCCTCCATATATTCGTGCAGAAACTGACGGATTATATAACAACTTCCTTACAAACTCAACAAACAAAATCCTGCAAAGCTAAACGTCGTCTTTAAAATGTTTAATATGTGTATGCCTTTTTGCAGTCTTTAAATTCGACACAAAAATGCTGTAAAGTCTACGAGGAAGAACTCACCTCCTTCAGTGATGCTGCTGCTGCGGCTTCTGCTCAGTTTCCGCGTAATGCTGCACCCTTTTATACTGGACACGTGCCACCGGGGCCTGTCGCCCTGGCAACCTGACGTCATGTGACGTAGGATAAATTTAAAGAGCTATCTATCACGAATGCTATGGAAACGCTGATGGGAGACTGGGTAAGACGATACTATACAAGGACATGGAGGGGAGATTTATAACATGCCTGAAACAAGCGCAGTTCGGTGCTGTATAGATGTGCCAGACTTCCAAAATGCTAAATTAAACTCTAAAAGATGCATATCCTCCATGCAGAATTATGTTACCTGGGCATCTTATTATATTTGACCCTTCACAAGATAACCAGTGCCATTTAATTGAGGTTTTCGCCTCTGAAAGTTGTTTTCTGTGTCAAAGCTCCTTGAAAGGATGCAAGGACAACGTGTCAAGATACAGATGCAGAATTAAAGATCATACATTATGCTCAAAAGACACCTGATCACAACTGTTACCAGTGAATATAGGCTACACAAACCCTCGTTTTGGAGGCAACTCGATTCTAATTTTTCAAAGCATTGCTATCAAAAGTAACCAGTGTGCATTTATTTTTGCTTTGTTATTGAATTTCCCCATAGATACTGGGAAAAGGCACTGGGGTTATAATTGTGACTAGGAAAAAAATCACGCACTTTGACTATAAATGACATGTAGTTCATTTAACAATCCAAAAATAATTTATAAGTGCACACACGGCACGCATTTGGGATTAGATTCTTTAACATAAACCGCTTTCACAGTCTCCTTTTGGATATTAAGGTGCACGTCCTAGTCACTATGAAAAAGCAGAAAAAGCAGAAGTGGGTTTGCATGAATGGAACGTCAGAATGAGGATGGAACGTGCGGAATTCCGCACGCTGTTGCACGTGACCTTGACAGTGGCAAGCGGATGCAGCTACGTGAGAGACGGCGCGTGCTGCAGAGACTGCGCAGAGAGAGGAGCGATGGGCGGGGTGTGCTCAGTCATACAGAGCAAAAATATCGAATTAAACATGTAAACTAAACATGAATGGTGCTCCAAATTGACCTATTACCGTATTTAAGCTTTTTCGTTTAAACAGAAGACCACTTGCGCCATTTTTTATATTAGAGCCAAGGAAACGACGCCTGTCTGTCACGGCGATACACACTGCGCACCCTCGTGTGGCGTAAATATGTATGGCAAGCCGTTTTAACATTTAATCTATAAACCACACTAGTATCTAATTAGACGTTAGGACTTATTTTTAGATACTAGTATATTTTCCATTAAGTACTAGTACTTATTCATTAACTATAGTGCTTATTCTTTAGGTACTACCCAGCTAACAATTTTTGGCTCCCAGAATGTTCCCGGAACGTTAGTTTTTGGTTCCCAGAATGTTATTTTTTGTGGTTTGTTTTTGGTTAGCCAGGAAAGTTTTCTTACCGTTCCCAGAACGTTAGTTTTTGAAAGTTAATTTCAGGGCTCTGTATAGGTCACACATTAACATCTGCGACGTTTTCACTATCTTACGGTTTCAATCAAGATAGTTTTACAGGGTTACAAAAATATCCTAAAAAGAACCATTAGGGAATGTTCTCTATAAGTTATTTGTAGGTTCTTTTAAAAATAGCCACCCTGCAACGTTCTGGGAACTTTATTTTATGGTTGCAAAAAAATAACCTAAAAATAACCATTAGGGAATGTTCTCTATAAGTTATTTTTAGGTTATTTAAAAATAACCACCATGAAATGTTCGGGGAACGTTATTTTATGGTTACAAAAAATATAACCTAAAAAGATTGTTCCCCAAATGTTAGTATTTGGTTCCCCCAAAAAATAACCAAACGGGAACCAAAAACTAACGTTAGGGGAACGTTCTGTGTTTGCTGGGTAGTGCTTATTCTTTAGGTACTAGTGTTTTTTGTAAAGCTACTAGTACTTAATCATTAGATACTAGTACTTATTCATTAGATACTAGTGCTTATTTATTATTCATTAGATACTAGTACTTATTTATTAGGTACATTTACATTTACATTTACATTTACATTTAGTCATTTAGCAGACGCTTTTATCCGTCTATAGCAGGGCAATTCCTCCAATCGAAACTACAGTTCGCACTTCAACGCAGGAAGGGAGCAATTAAATTACACGCGCTCCTTCTTAGCCGAGGGCAGTTATTATAATTACCAGAAAGTGCAATCAAAAATACAAACGCAAACAAAAATATAACGTAGAAATAGGCAGAAAACGAAATATTCCTTCTTAGCAGCAAGTAATAATTCCAACAGCAGATCTATAACCAAGTATTACGCAGGACACTCACGTGCAGCCGTCTGTCTCTTCTGTTGACTAATCGCTTGACCCCGCTTGACTAATCGCTTGTACTTATTCATTAGATACTAGTACTTATTGATTAAATACTAGTACTTATTCATTAGATACTAGTACTCATTCATTAGATACTAGTACTTATAATTAGATACCAGTACTTATTTCAATAGTGACTAGAAACTATTATATTGTTACTAGTAAAAAAAATCAAATTTTTGCCATTGACTTCTATGGGGATCCGTCATTGAGATATCAACTATTCAGTTTTGACTAGTATGTATTCCACTAGTGACTAGTACTTAATTTTTATGTACTAGTAGTTATTCATTAGGTACTAGTGCATATGTTTTTAGATACTAGTACTCATTCATTAGATACTAGTACTCATTCATTAGATACTAGTACTTATTGATTAAATACTAGTACTTATTCATTAGATACTAGTACTCATTCATTAGATACTAGTATTTATTAAATAGATACCAGTACTTATTTCAATAGTGACTAGTAACTATTATATTGTTACTAGTAAAAAAAATTAAATTTTTGACATGGACTTCTATGGGGATCCGTCATTGAGATATCAACTATTCAGTTTTGACTAGTATGTATTCCACTAGTGACTAGTACTTAATTTTTATGTACTAGTAGTTATTCATTAGGTACTAGTGCATATGTTTTTAGATACTAGTACTCATTCATTAGATACTAGTATTTATTAAATAGATACCAGTACTTATTTCAATAGTGACTAGTAACTATTATATTGTTACTAGTAAAAAAAATTAAATTTTTGACATGGACTTCTATGGGGATCCGTCATTGAGATATCAACTATTCAGTTTTGACTAGTATGTATTCCACTAGTGACTAGTACTTAATTTTTATGTACTAGTAGTTATTCATTAGGTACTAGTGGATATGTTTTTAGATACTAGTACTCATTCATTAGATACTAGTATTTATTAAATAGATACCAGTACTTATTTCAATAGTGACTAGTAACTATTATATTGTTACTAGTAAAAAAAATTAAATTTTTGACATGGACTTCTATGGGGATCCGTCATTGAGATATCAACTATTCAGTTTTGACTAGTATGTATTCCACTAGTGACTAGTACTTAATTTTTATGTACTAGTAGTTATTCATTAGGTACTAGTGGATATGTTTTTAGATACTAGTACTCATTCATTAGATACTAGTATTTATTAAATAGACACCAGTACTTATTCATTAGATACTAGTACTTATTATTAGATACTATAGTAGTTATTCATTAGGTACTAGTGGATATGTTTTTAGATACTAGTACTCATTCATTAGATACTAGTATTTATTAAATAGACACCAGTACTTATTCATTAGATACTAGTACTTATTATTAGATACTAGTACTTATTATTAGATACTAGTACTTGTCCATTAGATACTAGTACCTATTCGTTAGGTACTAGTGCTTATTTATTAAAAACTAGTACTCATTCATTAGATACTTGTACCTATTAAATAGATACTAGTACTTATTCAATAGATACTACACATTTATTAGATACTAGTACTTATTTGAAATGTTACTAGTACGATTTTTTATTTCACTAGTACATTTTTTTATTGAACTCTACTGTAGCCATTTGGACTAGTCATAACATAAGACAAGTAAAAAAGCAGATCTGACAAGTAAGATAAGAATTGTTCTCTTTCAGTCAGTCACGTTCTACGTTACACACATCAGCTTTTCGCTTCGGAGCCGAGCCTTCTACAAGACGAATCTCCGCGAGTGTTTGGAAATAGCTGGCCTTGGTGTTACGGCGTGTCAGTGGGGGTTGCCATCCAGGCTGTTGAAACCTCGGCAAGCTGCAGCTGCCATTCTGCGGTCTCGCCTCTCTCTAAAAGAGTGTTTTTCCGTGAAGCGCCAGGGCAGGCGGTGTCCCTGAGACGGGCGACCCGGAGCTCTTGGATCCTGCTCTTCAGGAGATGGTGACCGCACCACTCCTTCCCCTGGAGGAGGGCCAGGCGGAGAATCTTTTGTTCCCGTTTGTTTCTGTTCCGCCACCCCAACCGGTGGTACCACCATAAGGTTTGGATTTTGTGTGCCCTGTACAGAACATTAATGTAAACACATTCAGTGTCTGCAGCACCAGTGTGCCCTGTACAGAATATTATTGTAAAAACATTCAGTGTCTGCAGCACCAGTGTGCCCTGTACAGAATATTAATGTAAAAACATTCAGTAAAAACATTCAGTGTCTGCAGCACCAGTGTGCTCTGTACAGAATATTAATGTAAAAACATCCAGTAAAAACATTCAGTGTCTGCAGCACCAGTGTGCTCTGTACAGAATATTAATGTAAAAACATTCAGTGTCTACAGCACAAGTGTGCTCTGTACAGAATATTAATGTAAAAACATTCAGTAAAAACATTCAGTGTCTGCAGCACCAGTGTGCTCTGTACAGAATATGAATGTAAAAACATTCAGTGTCTGTAGCACCAGTGCTATATGCAAAAAAAGTTAACATACAGCTCTGTTATGATATTTATTGTTTTTACTGGAGGAAAAATAGGAAAATAACAGATAATAAAATTGGTGTCTTATCTCCATCCTGCCACCAGAGGACACTCGATGACCAACAAACACATTAGGCTACGAAATTGTTTACGAAATTACAGTGTCTACAAAACTGACAAAAATACGTTTTCTATGTGCTTGTGTACAAATAATTGTTTCTTTTCTATGTGGTTTCCTCAAAAAAGTACATCCATCTTCTTGTTTCTGTTTCCTGTCTAATCTCTCTCTCCTATATGTTTTTGGCTCATTAATATCCAACATACGATTACCATACTGGGCAGAAATGCTAATTTAAAAAGTACTAGTATCTATTAAGTTCAGGATATCTCTGGTCTAAAAAGTTACTAGTAACTAAAAAATAAGTACTAGTTGTATTTTTTCTTAACAAGAAGAGTATAATTAAATACTAGTCACTATGGGAATAAGTACTAGTATCTACTAATTACATACTAGTATCTAATGAATAAGTACTAGTAACTTTACAAAAGACACTAGTACCTAAATAATAAGCACTAGTAGCTAAAGAATAAGCACTAGTACCTAATGAATTAGTACTAGTACTTAATGGAAAATATACTAATATCTAAAAAATAAGTACTAGTAGGCCTACCATGAAAATAGATACTAGTACGGCTTATAGATTAAATGTTAAAACGGCTTTCCATAAAGTGTTAGTTACAAAAGGAGAGAAAATTGTTAAAAAGGGGTCATATGAAGTTGCTAAAAAGAACATTATGTTGTGTATTTGGTGTAATGCAATGTGTTTATGCGATTTAAAGTTCAAAAAACACATTCTTTTCCACATACTGTACATTATTGTTGCTCCTCTATGCCCCGCCTTTCTGAAATGCGTCGATTTTTACAAAGCTCATCGGTCTGAAAAGCGAGGTGTGCTCTGATTGGCCAGCTATCCAGTGCATTGTGATTGGCCGAATACCTCAAGCGTGTGACGGAAATGTTATGCCCCTTAGCATATTGTGATGCCCGGCATGATGAGACAACTCCAATAATACCCATTACAAACGAGGCATTTGTTGCATCCAGTGGGGACATAATTACTGATTATAATGACTTATACTGTCTTTTTACACGTTGCGTTGTGTATCGCGCCACGTAAACAAAACCATGTCTGCATTTGTTATCGGAGAAACGACAAACAACAAGCGCTACTCAACACTGCTCAAAACTCGTGTTTGAATCGTCAGTGGCAACCTAGTGTAGGCTACTCTGCAGGTTCAGGAAACAGTCCTCCGTAAAAATGCACTGCACACATCTAAATATTTGGGTTGAACTGTTCTGGAACAGTGTTGTAAATACAACTTAACCACTGATTTCTAGTTGTGTCCTCTTTTGGAAGGCCAAACAAAGTAGTTTCGCTTTCACAACGAAACACACAGCGTCACACATGGCTGGGCAACTTTAGGGATCTTATCTATACCTGAACAGCTTGTAACACTCCAAAGAGAAAGGAACATTTGAAATTGCATCATATGACCCCTTTAAAAATTGCATTATAGGTTTAAACCACTATAAACGAGTAAAGGCCTAATTTGGTAGGTTTCCTTTCTTTATACAAATTTTACCTGTGTGTGTTGGGATCGACTGGAAAGCCTACCTTGAATTAGTGTTATAGTTAACTAATAAAACTAAAATCATAAAAATATTTTTATTAAATAAACAAACTTACAGTAAATAAAAAATAAGAAACTTACACTTTAAAATTTTATTTCAGCTAGTTGCCAATGCAGCATTTCTTACTTTAATTTAGTTTAGCTTGGTCTACTAAAATAACTCAAACTAAAATGTAAGGCCTAAAATAAAAAAAACAAAACAAAATAAAACAACAACAAAATTACTTGAACTTTATTACAAATTAAAATGTAAACATAAAATATAAAATTAAAACTAATAAAAAGTTATATTGATAGCTCAATTATACTAAAATAATACTGCCCTGAATACCTTCTTTGACAAATGCATAACTGTAAATAAATTGAGGCGGTATTATATACTTGGCAAATAAATTTTTAAGACGTTTGTAGATACAGACATCCATTGTGGCTTTTTTTAAATATTCATATCGATATCGGAATTATATCGTACAGACCAAAATTAAGAAATATATCGTGATATAAATTTTGGCCATATC